TGATATATATATATATATATAAATATATATATATGTGTATATATATATATATATATTTATATATATATATATATTTATATATATATATATATATATATATATATATATATATATATATATATATATATATATATATATATATATATATATTTATATATATATATATATATATATATATATATATATATATATATATATATATATATATATATATATATATATATATATATGTATATATATATATACATCGTAACTTCTGAAAAATCTTAAACAGCATCTGTTAATTCAAATCTTTTATTCCACCTCTCTTGTATAGTTTATATTTTATCACCTAACCAAAAGCAAAGTTGAGTTGTTTCCTAAGAACTTCTCATCAATATCATGACTTAATTCCACTAGTCTTCTAAAGCTTGTGGTCCGGACAACATACCTGTTATATTTTTCAGATGTGTTCTCTGGAGCTGTTGTATATACTTTCAAAACTTTAACAAGTAAAAAGGCTGTGTCCCATTAGTCTTCTTACTATCATTAGCAAGATTTTTGATTCCTTAATCAACAAACATATAATTTTTCATCTTGAACCTAATAACTTACTATCTAATCATTAGTTAGGATTTTGGTCTTCTTGTTCTTCTGCTGGTTTGATGACATTATAAAACGATAGATTTTATTGTGCATAAGATAGATGTCGAGAGGTTAAAGTTATTGCTCTCAATATTTCTAAAGCTTTTGATAAAGTTTGGCATGCTGATCTTTTCCATAAGCTTTCTTAGTAAAGTGTATCATGTAACATCTTTAAGATCATTGAACCCTTCCTTATAAATCGTACTATAAAAGGTGTGCTCAATGGACAGCACTCTTCTTCATATCCTGTAACTTCAGGGGTTCCTCAAGTATTATTTTTAGCCCTATACTCTTTTTAATTTACAATAACAATCTCCAAGAAATTCTCACATCTAAGGTGACGTTGTTTGCTGATAATACTACAATTTATTTTTGTATTGATAAGAAGCCAACACTCTCTGGTAGCTTGGAGGGCATTTAAGTTTGAAAATGATCTCACTTCTGCTACAGCATGGGACTCTCAGAGGCTGGTGAACTTTAGCTCAGATAAAATTAAATTTTTTTAAGCAATCATTATTGCAAAAATCTAGATCTTCCTACATTTATGAACGGTAACATACTCAATGAATCATCTACCTTTCGTCTTCTAGGATTAACTCTTTCTTCCAATCTTTCTTGAAAATCATATTTCATATCAATTGCAAAATTAGCATTTGCTAAGGTTGCATCTCTTTGTATTGCTCGTCACTTTCTTACTCAGGACTTTATTCTTTACCTCTTAAAATTTGAATTTTGTCATTGTATGGAATACTGTTGCCATATCTGGGGCGAATCTTCCAATGATCCCCTTTCTCTTTTAGACAAGGTGCAAAAACACATTACAAACATAGTTGAACCTGCCCTTGCAGCCAACTTTTAACCCATCCTTTTACTGTGACTGTTCCTAAGTGTTCCAACAATTCTTATTTGTCTAATTTTTATTTTTTAAAATCAGTTCTTTGGAATTCGTTCACTTCATCTTGTTTCCTGGTTCTTATAATTTGCAATCTTTTAAGCCGTCTGTTAATCAGTATCTTGCTTTATAAACTTCAAACAGTTTTGAACAAAAAGTTTTTAACTACAATTTGGTTAATTTAATCAATAAAAGCTTGGTTTATTATTTTTTACTATTTAAGCAGTGCTTGAAATAGAAAAAGAACGTAACGAGATGGTTTTCAGTAAATTGGATTTTCAAAATACCATCTTATCCTTGCTATATATTTTATACTTAAAAAGGTGACCAGCTGGCATCTCACTCCATAATGTCTTATTTGGAATACTGTTTTTAAGTATTCAGTAACAACAATTGTTTGATGAAAAAACAAAAAAAAAAAAATTAAAAAATACAGTACAGTATAAACAAAATACAGCAAACACTATCCATTAAATTTGTGTTCCAGTTCTCTAGAGTAAACAGGATATAAAAATTGTTTTAAAATAATGGTTGCGTAAAAACTAAATTTTAAAAAGTATGAAACAAAAATTACTACCTCCACACCACATTCAATCTCAAAACAAAAAATTACTACACCACACCACACTCAATCTAACCATTCCCCCCAATCTGCGCTAGCTCGAACGTCTTATCACCACATTTACAACAACACAATGAATCATTACTCTCCTAGCTCTTTTATCTTTCCCTACAATTATATAGTTGACATAGGTACCAATATGTGCATAGAATGATAATTTATGGTACTTCTTTTATAAGGTATTTTAAGTATCTCTCAACAGGTTCTTTGTCTGAGAGTGCAATTGAAGCCAGAAACAAAGAAAACAGAATTGGTCGTGCATGTCTAACTTTCTTGACAGAAGACACTAGGGTACTAGGGTTAATATTAATTATTTGTATTTGACATCTGATATGTACCTCTATTGCAAAAAAAAAAAAAAAATTATTTTGAATTTAGAAACATAAATAAAAATTCGATGTCTTGTGTCAGTTTAATATGCTCCTTTATTTATTTATTTCCTCACTTTGTATTAGGGCAACGCTTAGCGCAGGCTCTTCAAATACAAAATGTTCTTGTTTAAAAATGCTTGAAACATTTAATCGACACATTTAATGTAAAAAAAAAAAAGTTTTTGACTAAAGCTGATAAGAAAAAATTTGCATAGCTTAAAACAATGTTTTTGTTCGCATTAGCCCCGCGCTAACCTATTTAAAACAACTCTAATAGGGGCTAAAGCAAACTGAAAACTTAATTACTTTTGTGTTGTTAAATTACTCAATTACTTACTCCATTTGTAATGTGAACAAATTATTGATTGCTTTACAAACTTTCTTTTTTGTTTTGTTTTTATTTGCGAATTGTTTTGCTGTTGTCGAAATTCTATTTTTTTCGTGTTTTGTTTACTTTATGTGTAAAATACCTTTTATTTTTTTTATAATAGCAATTTTTTTTACGATTGTTATTATTATTTCTATTTTTATTATCATTATTTTTTTACTTATCACTATATTATTATTATTTAAATCGATAGGTGTTTAGATTAGTGGTTACTTTTTAAAATATTCTCGACGCAACAGCTTTTCAAAACATATTTGATTCTACGTAATTTACACAATTGACATGATCTTATACAATTTATTTTTACATGCATTCAAATACAAACAAATTTATCAAAAAAACGCAATACAAAAAATTGGTGTTTTCTTTATATTAGTAATGATTACTATTTGTAAATATCCTCGATGTAACAACTATATATATATATATATATATATATATATATATATATATATATATATATATATATATATATATATATATATATATATATATATATATATATATATATATATATATATATATATATATATATATATATATGATATATGATATATGTATATATATAATATGTATCTATCTATGATATATGTATATATGATATATAAATATGTAACATGATATGGTTTATCATAATACTATAGTTTGAGATTTTAAAACAATAAACTTATCGTAAGAATATAATACAGTTCTCTATGTTGTAAAGATTAATATTTGCACTACTTATACTTAGTCAATGGTTCAACCATGCATGACGGCATTGCTTTATATTATAATAAGATCTCTTTTATAAAGTTTAACAATTAAGAATTGCGTAAAAAGTGAAAGCACTCGCAATCTTTAGGAGTTGGATTCGGAATTGGAATGAAAAAATCGTCGAAGAAGATTTTCAGATCTTTGTCTTCTTTATAGTTGTAATGGTTGATAAAAAGTTTTATAATATCGTTTGAAAATACATCAATCCTAAACTTTTGTTTTCGAGCTATACGATATAAGATACCATTAAAATATATTTCACTAAAAGATTCATCGTTAGCCGAGATGAATTTGTAAACAGACGCATCTGTAAATCTTGGGGGACAATTAACTTTTGGAAGATCTGCACCTAAAGAATAAAAAAATTCATATTGTTACAGCATTGAAAAACAAAAATTGTTTTAAATTAAAAATAAAAAAGACATGTTTTTTCTGTGAGCACTTAAAAATAAATAAATGTACGCACTCAAGAAAGTTTCGGAAGATCCGAATCGACTAAGAGATGATTCATAGTCGTTACTTTTTAATTTAGTTTTGACTGAGGCCATGCGAAATGGTTCAGATTGCACTGTAACGATGATTTGATCCATTAACAAAAATTGTCCTAAAGTAAAAAATATTAAAGAGTTTTTGAAATCATTGCTGGTATTAATATTTAACGCATCAAAATTAATAACATTAAAGTATTTAATATTGACATAAATACTAATCTGTCGAAATAATTTCAATATTAAATAATTTCAAATTAAAATAATTTCAATATTAAATGAGTATATACATCAGGGATTACCATCCGTTAGGATCAACACGGACGATCCATTATTTTCCAATGACCGACGTTACTAAAAACACTGTTTTTTTATGTTTTTTTTTAAATTTAAGTCTGTTCTCTTCCTTTTTTAAATTTCTTTATTTTTCATAGTTTTTGTCTTTTGATTGCACCTATAGCCTTTCATTCAAATCGCATTTTTGGCGCGGAGTGATTGTAAAATATTTTAACGTTTACTTTAGAGGAGAACACCAATTTGTTGATTATTTACAAGTAGTTTTACTAATAGAAAGGTGTTTTTGGTATCCGCCTTATCTCTTCCAGGCTGCAACAGTAAAACAATCAATCCATGTCCAATAAATGTGTAAGACCTTTTTTTACCGTTAGTATCCAATACTTATAAGTTAAAGTTAAACTATTGTTTTTTGAACTTCGTTTTAAATTTTAATTAAACTTGTGATGCGCGAAGAATACATTAGTAGTCGCGAAAGTGTTAACAACTTAAAAGATATAATAATATTATACAATTTTTTATTAACAAATGAAAATATTTACAAATGCTTAAGGTGAAACAATAATAACAATAGTAGTAAAATAACAATAAATTAATAATATCAATATAATAATATTAATATAACAATAAATTAATAATATCAATATAACATAATAATATTAATAATAAGATTATTAATAAAAAGAGTAATAATTATAATTTTAATAAGAATAAATTATTAAAAAATAAAAAAAAATGTGTCATTATATAATAATGACAAAAAATTGTATAATAATAACTTAATGATTAAATATGTCACTGATGTCGAAGTCTGATTAAAGGAGTAAGATAGAAAGTTATTACAGGAAGAAACTATTCATAATTGCATAGATAAAAATTAGTTTTTGTTTCTTGGTTTTCTTGGATAATAGAATGTATATATCTAGATTTTGAATTTAATAAGGATAAATTATTATTTAGCCATATTGTTTATCCCTAATGAGAATTTGTGAAACAATTCAACGGATATTTCACAAAAGTTTTTTATTTCTCAGAGATTGTCTTTTGAACATTTGTGCAACCTCTACTACTGCTTCTTCAAAAGTTAATAACAAATTTTGATTTTATTGTAACAATAACATCAAAAACATATCAAGTCATGTTTTTGAAATAACTCATTTAATTACATGATGTGCAATAATGATATTTTTATAATTTGAATATTATTCAAGCATTAAAATATGTTTCTTCACTTTGAAATATTATCAATCAACACCTCGAAATTTGCTTTGAACAAGTCTAAAATTGCATTTCAAATTATTTTGAATTGGTTATCCCTGTCCTTTTGCAAAGACCATCTGAGTACTGTGATTAACACAATGTTTGATGATACAACTTTAAAGTGTTACTTAGCACCTGTCTTTTAGTTTTTTTGTTCTAATCTTCAGTTTCTTCAAAAAACTATTATTATTTTTTTAAATTTGATTCACTCTCAACAAGACGCAAGCAACCACTATTAAGTTGGGAGTATGGCTTCTCAAACGGGATTCCGTTTTTCCTGTGTTGAAAAATAATACCGTTATCCTGGGATTTTAATTAAATTTTCTAGGGAGTCCAAGTAATTTTTTTTACTATTTTCAAAGATGTTAAAAATATAAACGGGTTGCTTTGCTTACATTTTTATGCGCACACGCAAAAAACAACAGGCAAAACATGTTAAAAAATATATATATATTAAGGTGTTTCCAAAAAAAAAGGATCCTAGCTTATCATCTACCCGAACCATAATTTAGTACTATAAATTTTTTTTTTAAACTTCTGAAAATCCTAAGGGTTCGTTCAGGGGGTAAAAAGGGCATTTTTTTAGGGTGTTTTGCGCCATTTTTAAAACTGTTTGTAGGAAGTCTTGGCATTAAAATTTTTGATTTTTTTTAAATATATTTATGTTTGTTAAGATTTAATTTAAGTAAAATGAGCTCTACTCTCAAAAAAAAAAAAAAAAAAAAAAAAAAAAAAAAAAAAAAAAAAAAATAATAAATTGTTTCAAAAAACCCTAAAATCCATAAATATTTAATGAAGCTCATAAAAATACAAAATATTCTTAAAATTTTCTTGAAACTCATAAAAGTACATTTTTTTTCTTCATTTCTGATACAGTACAATATTGATTTCTCACTTATAATCAGCTTCAGGAGAAATATATAAGAGAGAGGGCCTGGAAAAGGAAAGAAGATACTTAAAAAAACAACAAAATTAATCAAATTATAAAAATTTTCAACTAAATAGTAAATAGTACATTCCTGAGCATGTCAAAAACTAGCCACAACTTTTCTATTATTAATAGAGTCAAACTAGGAGGCTCATCTTTACTGAAGTTAAGGCTATTCAATATAGTTTGGTCCTTAACCTGGCGCTCCAAAGAAAAACTGTCACTTAGACATCTTTGTAAACTATACAGTTTTCTGGCCATATCACCAAGTTCCCTACAGTTCCCTACTTTATCTGCTAGGGCAATATATCTGAGAATAGAGCTTGCAACAGCTTGAGAGCCAAGTAGGTTCCATTCCTCAAACCTTTTCATTTGCCAGTAAGCTTTCATATCCTAATAAATAAAATCCATTAACATTTTGAATTACTTTAATTAATAATGAGCTTTCTAACTTATTAAATAATACTAAAAGATTGATACCTGTGTTGGTGCCAAAGAACTTAACTCTGCCCTTAGAAACGACTCTGTATAGAAAAGACAAATGAATAAAGCCATACCAGTTATTTTTTCTTTATGCTTGTCAGTCAGGTTTCGGATTTCACTCATTAAAAGATACAATTTTAAGTAGTGTAAACCTTTTCCTATAAATCTTGAATGGTGAACTGGTCCTGATAATGAAACTTAAACCTATTTGACGATAGAACCATTAAGGTAAGTTCAGCTAGCTCATGGTATTCTTTTCTTATATTTCTGACCTAAAAGGTTTTGGATATAAAAAAATAAATTTGTAACAAATGTTACTTTTTAAAAATAAGATTTAATAGAAAAAGAATAAAAATAAAAATATTACCTTTTTAAGGATCTTTAAACTGTTTAAAATACGATCTTTAAACTGATCACATTATGACGAAACTGAACAGCAGCTAGTTTTTAATTGTATATTCATTTTCCAGGTGGTATTATTATTCTTTTCAGTTCCTTAGTTTCAGCATCGATACTATTCAAGTTTTGTTTCAGAACTTCAATTAGTTTGTTTTCTGGACCAGAAGTTTCGCTGTTTGGGTAAATCTTCCAGAAATGGGCTATGTGTCGCTCAATTACATGACATCTGCATGCAATCAACAACAAGAAACGTTAAAATTATTGAATTATTCTCATGCAAGTAACTTGCCATTTTCCTGTAATTGCTGAAGTTGTGTCAAAACAGAGACATTTAACCTTATCTTTTAATCCAAAAAATTCCATCAATTCTACAATAGCTTGCTTTTGATTAACCTCTGAACTAGAATCTTTAGAAGCCAAGTTGTTATGATTTTGCATCAATCCTTACCAAAACTGCAATTCTATCTTTTTTAAATTGCTTTCCCTTTATTAATTCATTAACAATTTTTCCATCAAAGTGTGTAGTCATTAGTGAAATTGATGATATTACAGTATTTTTTACAGATTCTTTTATTTCTTTAGTACTGACAGATATTATGTTCTCTGCAGCTCTATAAGATGTGGGTTTAGAACAATTAAAGTTTGCTACAGAACCACCAGCCATGACAATAACACTTGTAATCAATGCTGTATGTTTGTGGGGTGTTATACCTTCTCCCACTGATGTATGAGTGGTTGACTGAAGAATATTTTTAAGATGAAGAACAGAATTTTGAATATTAGAATGCGTATTAAAATCAAAGTCAACATTTGTTTCCTTGTCTAATTTGTCGCTAGTGTAACTAGTAGAACTTTGATCATCTAAATTATTCTTATATAATTCTGCTGATGGATTTCTATTTAACTTTGATATGCATCTTTTACTTCTTACTACAGAATACTCATATCTTTTATCTCTACTTGTACTCACAAAGCTGGTCTTTTAAGAAAGCTTCCTCTTTGTCTTTCACTTTTCTTATTTTATTTTTTATTATTTCTTCAAACATAACGTGAGGATGTTCTCCAATCCAAAATACCTTATTCATTTTCTCTTCAAACAAATGAATTTTTTTTAGTATTTCAGTAGAATTTGTCTTGTGTTTTTGATCTTTTAATTTCATCCACTCCTTCAGCAGTTTCTCAATTTTAATCCTGTAAAAATATTATTTAACAGCATATTAATGTAATAAACATAGACTAAAATAATTTAGAACTTATTGAAAATATTACTTTAGCTTTTGCATTGTAACCACTTTAAATCCACCAAGTATCCAGGCAACCATTAGTTTGGACAGTATGCAGCAGTCAGACTGATTAACTGGACAATTGGGTATACAAGAAGAACTTTTGTTAGGATAACCTACTAAGAACTTCACTTTTTCTTCACATTTTGATTTTCGTAGAAAAAGATAATATTGAATAATTTCTTTAGCAGTTGCAAATTTTTTTGCTGGAAGTTAATCAAAGATCAACTTTTTAACTAAAAATATTTTATCCAATCTAATACTTCTAACTTTTTTTTTTGGTGGCATTATGTTAATTTTTTAAGTATATAATCTAAAAAAAAAATAATATAAAATATATTTCAAGAAAACATTTTTAATTACTAAAAAATTTAAAACTTATTTATAAAAATATTTTTAAAATGTACAGTGTAAAAAAATTTTTATTTGTTAAATATTTAGGGATTTTAGTTTTTTGAGTTTTTAATTTTTTTTGAGAGTAGAGCCCATTTTATTTAGATTAAATAAGTCTTAACAAACATAAATATAAAAAAAAATCAAAAATTAATTAAGTTATAATAATAAAGATGACGAGACTGAAAAAATTGATTTTAAAACATAAATTTGCGCAAAAAATAGATTGATTTTTGGCTAAAACACTGCAGTATGCATTGTTTTAGCCAAAAATCAATATGCAGAAAAACAGAATAAAAATTTAGTTGGCTAACTTAAGTATTTAAATAATCAATCAAATTATAAAAACGAATCAGTCTTTCAACCTACGATTAAAAAATTATTTTCTAGGCTGTTTTTGAAGATATTGATGGTGGTGTTACTTCTGCTGATTTTGAAGAATTAGAATGCAGTAATTGAAACATTGCTTATGGCTGATTTTTGTACAAATAATTTAGACAAAGTATATATGCTCTATTAACTATCTTAAAGAAGGACTAGTCAAGTGAAAATGAGTTTTAGTTGAAGGAAATAGGGATGATAGTTCCTTTGAGCAGCAACCACGATAGTATTTGTAGAAAAGAGAAAGAGATGCAACTTTACAATAATGGGAAAGAAGCTCAAGCTTAGCAGACAGAGTGGGTCCAACTACTTTTACGTTTTAAATCTTGTCTAGAAGAGGAAGCGGATTATTAAAAAAATATAATAATATAATAATATAATAATAGTATTCCATACAGAGACAAATAAGAGATTTGTAGAGGTAGAGAATGAAATCAGGAGTAAAAAAATGGCAAGCATAAAAGAGAGAGAGGCAACCTTAACGGATGCTAATTTAGCAATTGATTGTATATATATTTTCCATGAAAAGTCAATAGTAAACAATGATCAAAGAAGATGTAGTGTAGAGGACTCAGTGAATTGCCATTCATTATTATATAAATGTCGATAGTATTGCCATAGTTGTTTGCAGTAAATAACTAAGTTTTGTTGGAGTTAAAATTTACAAGCCACTGTGAGTCCCAATCTGTTACAGAAGCGAGATCAGATTCAAGATTGACTGCCTGTTCTAAGTGATCAAAAAGAGAAGACAAGACAGGAGTATAAAGTTGAGAAAAATAAGCTACTTTAGATGTATAGTTGTCAGGAAGATCATTAATATAGATAAGAAATAAAACCAGGGATAGAATCTTGAGGTACCCAAGACGTTACTTAAAATAAAGAAGAGTATTGGATTTGATTATCTCAAAAACTTTCCCAGATACATCATATAAGACTCAGTCAAGCACTTATTAAATAGTTCAGAGAGAATTGAAGAGAGTTCTGGAGGACAATTTTGTAAGACTATGACAGGAATGTTGTCTGGACCACATAAAGACATTAATTGAGATATAACTTTAGCAATGGTAGCTGTAGTGATTTGAATGTCTAACAATGGGTTAACTGGTTTAATTAAAATGGAAGGAGCAAAATGGTCATAAGATTCAAAAACCGAATTTAAAAAAAGAAATTGCAGAAATTCAGTATTCTTGTTATACATAAATGCATATTTACCCACTTTTTTTGTAAAGAACCGTGAAAGGGGTTGCGCTCCCTTGCCCCACGCCCCACGCTGTTGTTAGCTCTGCTAAGAGTTATAAGAGAATGATGAGAAGTTGCAAAGCAAAATAGTAGGTATATAAACAAGTTTTTACAAGTTTGTTATAAATACTTGTGAATTGTGTTTTAAATAAAATTCAAATATAATAAAAGTAGGATTTAAAAAAAAATGTCTTTTTGTTGAACAGCTTTTTGTTGAACAGCTATTAACTTTTTGTTGAACAGCTATTAACTTTTTGTTGAACAGCTATTAACTTGAGAACAAATAAACTTGATTATGGATTGCAATCAATCAATACACTAAGATATTTAATAAACCTCTAAGGATATATTGTATCATCAGTGAATAGATAAACTAAAAACGAAGTTGATGAGGTCATTTACATAAATTAAAAACATAAAAAGACCAAAAATAAAACTTTGAGGAACACCACACTTAATTGGATTATTACTAGAATTATAACCATTAATAATAAGAAATTGTTTCCAATCCAAAAGATAATATCAAAACCAGTTATTTACAACACCACAAACTTAGAAATTAAAATATTATGGTTTATGGTATCAAAATTTTTCTGTAAATTAATAAAAATACCACAAACTAAATAGCTAAAGTATCAAAAACACCAAAAATGGTCTTTTTAACTAGGATATGTTCTAGTTAAAAAAAAACAGTATTAAGAGCTTCAAAAATTGGTTTAAACCATGGATTGTAAAGTGAATAATAATTTTTTTTTTACTTTCATTTTAATGTTAATTCACGTTCCCAAGGCCAAAAAGTTCTGTTTAATTTATACACAGCTTCATTGGTGCTTGCACAGCTAACTAACTTATTTATAAGGCTAAGTCTGTAGTTACACAATAAAGTATGTAGATTAGGCAAGCCTAGTACCATAAACATATTTGTAGCGCTTGAGTACTTGTCATATCCAAAAAATATTTTAATAAATTTCTTGTAACAAAAAACTAGTTTTAAAATAGTATTTGCTCAAAACTAATCAATGATAGCAATATGTTAAAATTTTCAAAGTGTTTTTGTAGCAATGATATGTTTAGATAAAAAATAGAAAGAGCCTTATTTTTAGCAAACAGAACTTGCTTATACCAAAATATTTGCAATGTCCAGTGAAGCATAGATCTCCTCATTTAAATTTAAATATGAAATAAAATATAATCAATAATTTGAATAGAAATGTTTAGATAAAAAAAAAAAAAGATGTTTAGATAAAAAAGATAGAAGGAGGTTTGTAGGTAAATCATTATTTAAATCATTAGTAAGAATTTATCAGTAGAAAATGGTAATTTTAATTTGTTATCTGGTAAATTTGTTAATGGAAAGATAGTTTTAACATATTCCACACAGCCATAATGAGTGATTTAATTGTAATGAACTCAGTATTCAGTATCATGATACTTGTTGCATTTTTTCCAAAACAATCAAATGTCACATTGAATTGAGTAAAGAAATAATAATTGAGAAGTAAATAGGTATATTAATAATGATAGTTAAATAGTTATAGCTAATATATAACTATATTAATAATAATAATATAACAAACCATATAAATAAGTTTATTAGGAAAATTAGCAATAACAATAACAACTACAAAAAACAATAACAATAACTATAATATTTAACAATAAAACAACATATAAACAAAATAATAAAGTATAAAAACAACAAAATACTGATACAAAAAATATAAAATCAAATTATATAAATAAAAAAATAAATGCAAGATAGGAGAAATGTAAATTAATAATATAACAATAACAATATTATAAACAATATATTATAATAAAAAATAAAATATAATAATAATAACAAAAGAAAAAGATACAACAAAATAACTTATATAAACATCTTCTCTTTTAATAACTTCTTTTCATTATATATATATATATATATATATATATATATATATATATATATATATATATATATATATATATATATATATATATATATATATATATATATATATATATATATATATATATATATATATATATATATATATATATATATATATATATATATATATGATTCTAAATATGAATTTTAATTTGTCTTCTTATTTTAAAATTTATATTATGTTTACGTTTATGTTTTTATTATTGCTATTTTTTTAAACTAAATTAGATGATTATTTTTTTATTATTTCTTTCTTTCCTTCTACTCTTTCAAAATTTTAAAATTCTGTAAGCTAAAACTTTTTAACCTTTTCCAAACTAAAAAGCTTTAGTTTTTAGTAAGTCTATTTAAATTTATTACTTTTTTTTGTTCTTTCAATTGCAAAAAGAAGCCACCATCATTAATAACCACTACACTTTGGAATAATAATAATGTAATTATAACTGTAATAATATATAATAGTAACTGTAGCAACATATAACTATATATTATTACATAATAATAACTGTATTAAAATACATGATGCAACTGTATTATTATTTGTAATGTAGCTACAACAATATAAAATACAATTGTAATAAGATATACATATAGGTCTATTAAACTACATTAGTACATTGCATTCAAATTCAGGATCAAAAAATATTTTTTACACTACTTTCAAATTTAAGAGGAAAAAAATCTACATAAAAGTTTTGAGGACAACAATAATAAATGCTATTGTTGGGGACTAAAAATATTCAGGAAGACAAATAAATCTTTGAAAAGTCAAAAAATTTCTAATTATATTTATTACATCTTCAAAGCAAAGTAATCATAATATAAACTTAATGCAGTATCGACAAAATTATTTATAATGCATTAATAGATATATACATTAAATTCTTTAAAAATGTTTTATTGCTTCCATAGCAATAGCATTAAAATTGTACTTTAAAAACATTTTTAATACTTTGTCTCCTAAGGCCTAATATGAAGTGACTTGACTACAAAAAACTTTGGAGTTTCACTAAAAATAACTGTGAGAAATTTATTCATAAACCAAAACATGGTTTATAAACAATTGGGACACACAGATTACTCTTTACTTTATGCTATTCAAACTAATACTTTTGCTGAAACAGTATGTAGTTTGCTGAAACAGTATGTAGTTTGCTGAAACAGTATGTAGTTTGCTGAAACAGTATGTAGTTTGCTGAAACAGTATGTAGTTTACTGAAACAATATGTAGTTTGCTGAAACAGTATGTAGTTTACTGAAACAGTATGTAGTTTGCTGAAACAGTATGTAGTTTGCTGAAACAGTATGTAGTTTGCTGAAACAGTATGTAGTTT